CATTGCCTACAGATTTATATAACTTTTTTAGGAAAAAAAAATAATTTATTTTGAGAAAGGTAACAAAAGTCGACATTGAAATACATGCAAAAATTAAAGCTGTATTAAAGATGACTCTTATAAATACACTTTCCTAAACTATCAAATATACCATCAACTTTACACTTTAACCGCAAGAAATTTTCCAGATTTTTCTGCAACATTTTATTGATTATTTCATTATTATATTATTTATTCTTATTATTAAATTTTTCTGAAATTTCTTTTGTTAATTTTGGACGTAATAAACATAATTTTTTATAAACTACAAATATTGGTTTTATAAAATCTTGAATAAATTATGCAGCTTTGATTTGTGAAATAAATTTGACTTTGACATCTAAAAGGATGAGGCGAATTCACATGAGTGAAATTTAAGGAAATTATTGAGAATCCTTGCCTCAAGAATATCCCAGGGTTCAATACTACATTTTCTCATATACAAATTCAAGCGAATTTAATCTTACTTTAAATAAAAGAAATGCACAGTACAACTGACCAAAAAAACTACATTAAATTCATCGTTGACAACATCGAGTTCAATATTAAAATTAATCACCCAAGCATCACGCAATTATGTGCTTCTATTAACCTTTTTTTATTGTAACCGTAAACAAAATTATTGACAGCAACAGTGATAGTGACGATGACAGACATTTTCACCACAATTATTGATCACAATTAAATACGACAGATTTCATTCTTGAGCACGGAACATAGCATCATCACAAGTTTGTAAAATGGATGTATTCCAATCCAGTTTCACTCACATCCTAGTGTACGCAGTATAAACTGCGCATGATGATTACCAGATTACATTCTAATGACTGTGCGTCAATCATTTCGGCACTAACAATTTCTAAAGGCTTTGTCAGTTCGCTTCGCTGTAATGCCGCTATAAATCAATCAGGGGTTTAATATCGCACCTCTAGCCTAGAATCTTTATTCAGACATTCATCCAGTACCCTATAACATTTAACCGTAATATGTTCATAACTGTATATAAAACCACAATTTAAATATTTCACAATTTGTGAGGGGAAACAGTGAAAGAGAATAATGCTTCACACCTTTGAGAGTAACAATGGTTTCGCACACATCGCTCCCATTGAAGGCCAATAAAATGACAAGTTAAAATGTCAAGTAAGAGCGACAGCTCCCTGATAGCTTCCTTCCATTTGTTCGACAGGCATATTAATAATATCCCATGAATTCATCAGGTTATTACCGCGAACTCCCCTGAAATTAAGCGAATCCTACACCTTGCACTTTTCTGAAGAATGCATTTTCATCAACGCCTCCGATTTGATGGGGTAATGGTGACGAGTCACGAATGACTGGCATTGATCCACGGTGACAAGACGAAGAAAAACTTTCAGCATCCAGTAATGAGAGGAAATGGACGTGGAAATACTAACAATTGCGTCCTGATGATCAAAACTTTCACTGACGTTATTTGCCATATAACAGGTTGCCATAGATACCACAAGATGGTGATGTTCAAGTGCTGGTCTCATCACAAAGCTTGTCAATTTATTGATTAGTAACAAAAATTTAAATCTCTCAGCATTTTCAAGTACGCGATTCAACAACAATGGTTAGACAACGCCCAAGGTCGCTATATAAAATATAGACCTTTACACAAAGAACAATAAAACCCAATCTGATATAAAGTATCATTGTTTGGGACACCTTTTCTCTAATTCCTTAAAAGTTTCTGATAAATCAGAATAAGGCAGGCAATTACCAAATAACGCTGTGCCTATAGTTCGTTTTGTACTTCAATCTGCAATCCTTAAGCTTGTTTCTTTGCAATCCGCCTTAAAAACTGCACGCAGATGATTGGTTGAAGGATCGAGTCTGAGCATATCATCTAAATGCAAGGAATTGTCACTATTTGATGGTTTAATAGTGTTCATGAGAAAGAATTCTGCGAAAGTCATTGCAACTTGAGCTCTACTGCTTTATTATAAAGTGATATTTTAGCAGCTGAAATTAAATTTCGTGATTATATTGAATTTAACTTTTGTAGCGGTGAAGATTTTTCACGATATGAAAACCAATTTCACCAGTGCTTTCATTTAGATATTTTCGCTGCATTTTCAAAAAAAATATTTTTCGGCTACGGTTTGAACCAGTCAAATTACACATAAAACTAGTTGTCAACAAAAAATCAGCAAATACAATTTATGTGGGTCGCTGACGCAAGGATATGCTGTGACGGGTCGCTGACGCAAGGATATGCTGTGACAGCTCGCAAAATCCAAATTAGCTGAGATAAGCCTCGTACTCTCTTAATCTGATTCAGTTAGTACAATGCAAAATAAATATGCTTGTATATAATCCTTCGTGATGTGGACTAATTTGGCATTGCTAAACAAGTAAAGTTGGTGTTACTTATTTCTGACACCAATCAATCAAGATGTGTGGAAATTTTCTTTTTATATTGATGACTTTTATACCTAAATTTTGAGTACTGCCAAATACTTTATTTTCACTTGAAATCAATTGTCGCTGAAAGAATGATTCAGTGAAAATAAAATCCAGCGAATATACTTTTTTTCCTATATTTTACATTCAACTCAGTCAAAAATCAGTGAAAATAAATTCCATACAAAACACCCAAAAAGTCTTTTGAGCGAAAATTAATTCCAGCTAAAATAAAGTATTTTACAGTATTCTCTCAGTATGAACAGAGGGAATTGGCAATAGATGGAGACGTCTGGATACATTTTAAAGCCAGTTTGCTGTTGTTGTTTACTTCACCTGTTTTATATATAATAATAATAATAATAATAATAATGAATTTATTGCATCCTTAGAAATAATTATATATTATATATGAAATTATTTCAGCATTTTTTGAAACCTAATAATGATCAATGAAACTTAGAAAAACAGATAAGCAAAACATTTTGGGTATATTGCAAAACACTTCAATTAAGGATGAGGTTTACATCACTAGTACCTTGACTGGAGTGCGTTCTATCAGACTATGGTTCTATACTAGCAATTTTATTGCATTCCAAAATGCGTGCCTACAAATAGCAAAATGCGTACTAATAAGATAACGTGTCACTGGTAAAAGTTATTGAAAATATTTTGGGCAACAGTACTCGTTTGTGTGAAATATCAATCAGTCTCTCATTATATATGAATTTCATAACTTAATTGTTATGATATGATATCACATTAAAAAAGAAAACCTGTGGGTATATATCCTTTTAACAGTTTTCTCTGATAAATGCATTTTAAGCTAGAATGATAGTTTTGTACGCATATTTTAGAGCATATACAAAATTTTGTGTCAAAATCTGTCTATAATTAATTGTTTAATATTAGTCAACAGTATGTGAATTTTTGTGGTTCACAATCAATCATTGTCTTTGAGAAACACAGTAAAATTAGATGAATATAATGCCATTGTAGCTGTGGTTTCCATAAACCACAATGAAAACACATTTCCTTGTTAAAAAGCCACTGAAAATATTGTCCTGTCAACGCTGAACGTACCCCTAGCGCACATAAAGCGTGCGACTAATGTCAAATTAACGATCTAAAGTTAGATACACGCTCAACACGCTCACTTAACGTTTAAAAGTCGCTTGACACGCGCTAGTGACACGTTAGCACACGTCAATGATTTCCAGGGGTATCTTACTTGGTCGCTCATTACACGCTCCTCGTGCGTTAACGCTGGATGTGTCTACCTCGTTCCAGAACGCTTGGAAATTGGACGATTGGAACGTTCAGAGAACGCTGACCAAAACGTTATGGTGTGGCGGGGCTATAAGCAACATTTTGAGATATTGAGATATATCCTTGCCATAGGAAACATTCACATGTTAAAATGCCTTAAATTTGACAAAACAAGCTCTTTTCACTTTATTAATCAATTTTCTCAGAGTATGGTGACCCCATATTTTTAATTCATTTTGTTCATCCTTGTAAGATGACATATCAAATAAAAATAAAGAAAATGACAATATTAAAAATATTTCAGTGTGGCGCTATCTGTTTGCTGCATGTTTGTTGAATATTAGAATGCAGTTTCATACAGTTCAACTAAAAAGACATTTTTTTTCTTTGGTTAAGAATATTTATTAATTTATTTTCACACTTTTTACAATTTTTACTGCCAACTTTCATATATTTTTTGATAATTTCTTTGTGAATCTTGACCAAATGGATATACTGTAAAACATGTTGAAAAAGCGGCATACAATTTTAGCGAATTGTGGTAAAATGACGTAATAGCGAAATGTTGATTTAGCGAATCTCTCTTGTCATTGTTAATTTCTTTGTTTGGCGGCCATTTTGAATTTATAATAAAGTCATTAGCGAAATCTTGAATTAGTTCTCGCTAAATTCGCGAGAAAGACATGCTCGCGAAAAAGACACGTTTTACAGTAATCTATCTTGTATCCATTTCTTTTCTATGTCTCATGCAAATAAGTTGAGGGAGCTATTTAATTTTAAATCAAAGCGAGACTAGAAGATACATATTAAAATTTTGTGAATACTTTTCTCAAAAATCTAGGTTAGAATATACAATTATATAAAATTTTGGTATAGTGCACAATACCTACTGTAAAATTTGTATTAAAAGCCAAATCCATAATAGAAGTCACACCTATTCTTTCTGAACAATTGAGAACTAAAAATAGAAGCCACATTCCCTCTGTTAGAATAAACGATTTTAATAGTCACAGCTTCTAATACAGATTTTACAGCAATTGAATCATAGTGGTTTTAACCATAATTCTGTCAAACCCATTTACTTTTACAATGACTTCACCACATAAAGGTTATAATGCAATATTTTGATTTCAAGCCTCATTCTGACGCCAAAAACATAAAGCAATGCCTTCCAGGCCTTCAAGCCTCATTGTGGTGCCAAGAACATGAAGCGCCCTCAATGTAATACATTTCACACTAGTCATGATCAATTACGATTTAACCTTTCAACTTTAGCAACAACACTGTCAGTATAAGGATTAGATGGAGGTAATCTCACAGTACCTTGTACCTAGTGAAAAACAAAAAAAAACAATAAAGCATTGATTTTAAGGGAGATTTAGTGATCAACACAGCCCAGCTGAGTAACAGCGCAGACAATAGTATCCTGTCAATACAATCCTAATATACAATTCAAACAGACTTACATCGCCTTAATACCATTTTAAAACGGAGCGCCTGAAATAGACAAGTAAATCTCCAAATGGTGCGTGTCTTTTTTGCTTGGCTTCAACCTAGTATTAGCTTAAAATCCTGTTTATATCAAATATAGTCTCAACTGGCTCCCCCTTTTTAAGGGATTGCCTATAAATTCCAACAAAAAAAAACATTAATATTATACTGACATAAGGAAGACAACTATTAATTGTCATCAGCATACCTTGACATGGATATAATGTTGAAATTAATCTTAACTTAAAATATAATTATTATTTCATTATTTTATTATTAAGCATTCAACAAAAATACTTCAAAAGTGTAAAACCATTTCTACATCAAACCTTGTAAAAAAAAGGGAAACAAAAATAGCAAAATTAAAAGACAATTAAGGAATTTGACTTTAGGTTTACAATTATTAATCCATGTACAAGGTTACGTGAAATAATATAGGATTATGAAAAGCTAGACGACAAAGCTATATATAGAAAGTATCGGTATGAAGCCTAATTAATTACTCCCTTCATTCACTGGGGGGTAGACTCCCTGACAGACTTAGAACGTGAGATGATATATGCTTTGCAATATACCATGTTACGATGCCAGGTCATACCGGTGCTGGAAGCATTTTCTTTACGCATTCTGGAGAGATTTCAATCATAAATCTGTCTTGGCGTCAATTTGGACTACTGCTCATTAGAGGTTTTACTGCATGACGATGATGTACGCATACAGAGAGCACACTGTAATACCACAAGAGGAATGGAAATAGTACACACAAACGTTATTGCTTGATCGTTAAGCCAAATCTAGTCAGGTTGTGAACCTCATAAAGGTATCATTTTGTAAACATTATCATTCGATAAACCTACTTTTCCTGAATACATACAGATGGGTATATATCCAAAAGTCCAGAAGGAGCCACATCATCTAGCACTTACTCAAACCTTCAGGCTTCATTACACGTACTTATGGATGTTTGTCATCAACAGAATCAAACAAGACTAATTATAAGGAACCTCTTGATCATGTCAAAACAAAATTTAGAAATACTCCATGTAACAGATTTGATGCTGGCAGGATATTCACTAGGTTTTAAATTTATTGTTTAGTTAAGGAAATGATAAATTCTATTGTTAAATTTGCATACCCACTGGGTTTTAATTTAGTGCCTTTTGCTATTAGCGAGAATATAACCAACAGAATAATTGAGTTTATTATACTGTAGATATATTTTTGCGAGTCAGTGAAATTTTTTGGCAGTGAAAATTTCTCTGTGTCCCATGACTTTCACGAAATGTTGTCATGTATCCTGAAACTCAGAAATTGTCTGGCAGTGAAAATTACATGGTTTACAGTAGTATATTAATGTATTTCCTTTTTCAGAAGAGCATAAAACAAAAATTGCATTTATTCTGTGCTTGAGCATTAAAATAAATGACTTATTCTTATTAGACGCACTGTAGTATGTGCTACTGGTACTGATAGAGAAAATACAGTACTGTAAAATTCTTTGTTTTAGCTGGAATTAATTATATGGAATTTATTTTCACTGATTTTTGACAAGTTGAATGTAAAATCCTCCCTTCAGCGAAAATAGTGAAAATTAATTCCAAGCGAAAATAAAGTATTTTACAGTAAACAAATCTCCAAATATGGACACTGTCTTTACTACATTATTATAGTTGCAAATAACAAGGTTACCAGGAAACAATGAATGCAACGATTTTAGAGAAAGAGGGAAAAATGCATCAAAAATGAGTCACATGGCTCTCTCACGCTCTCAGATCTCGACAGACATTTGTGAAAAATTCTATCATGAATCATTGTAGCAGTGAAGATTTCACTGAGGTCCTTATGACTGGAAGTCACAGACTTTTGCAAAATGTTGTCTTTGCAAAATATGAAAAATATTTCTAGTGCGAAAAGGGTATACAGAAATCAGTGCATCTCCACGATGGTACAAAGTAAAGAAACAAGCAGCCTGTCGGCTGAGATAGCTCCGCTGTTAGCAATGTACATTTCAATTAAAGAACTGAAGATATCATTAGAAAAGGAACAATATGTATAGTATCAAAGCAATCGGACTGTTTTCAACAAGAATTCGAAAATATCACTTTTTACCAAAAAAGACAAAAATAATCATTAAAATTAGAGAATTGAAGATATCATCATCAAATGAACAAATCTGAGAGAGATCTTCCTGTAGTACCTATATATATAAAAGCAAAGCAATCAGACTTATGGTTTTTAACAAAAAGTCGAAAATATCACTTTTTACCAAAAATGACAAAAATATTCACCAAAATTAGAGAATTGAAGATATCATTATGAAATGAACAAATCTGAGAGAGGTCCACATGTAGTACCTATATATGTAATATCAAAGCAATTGGACTTGTGGTTTTTAACAAGAAGTTGAAAATATCACTTTTTACCAAAAATGACAAAAATATTCACCAAAATTAGAGAATTGAAGATATCATCATGAAATGAACAAATCTAAGAGAGTTCTACCCAAGGTACATATACACCAAGTAGCAAATCATTCAGACTTGTAGAAGAAGTCGAAAACGTAAAACATTGACACGGACGCCGACGGATGCCAGACGTCGTCGGACAATCACTCATATGATAAGCTCCGCTCCACTCCACATAGTAGACAGCGGAGCTAAAAACAGGTATTTTTCAGAGACAGAAAGTCAATATATTGCTTTTTGTTGGCTTGTTTGTCCACACCATAATCTACTGAGTCAATCACAACGATGAACTAGAAAACACGCTGATTAACCTCACAATTATATACCCCTGCATCCCAATTTTAAGCGATAAAGAAAAAGTCAAGATAATCTTACGCAGACTGCACCTGTATTGTATAGTTACTACAATGAGAAATTTAAACGCTATTGTAGTTGGGGATCAACTAAAATAACAAATGTACGGCAGAGTACAGTCAATGCCGAGAGCAATCTTAGAGATGAGAAGCGTTCTCTGGTTACTGTGTGTACAATCAGTTACTTCACAATCAATGCAGTGAAACGCGAGACCCCCTAATAGTGTCTTCTAATAAAATGCAATACTGAGTTTGCCAAGTATCATATCAACTAGGCTAGCACTGAGTTTGCCAAGTATCATATCAACTAGGATAGCACTGAGTTTGCCAAGTATCATATCAACTAGGATAGCACTGAGTTTGCCAAGTATCATATCAACTAGGCTAGCACTGAGTTTAACAAGTATCATATCAACTAGGCTTGCACTGAGTTGCACAGTATACTCTCATGTTTTTTTTTTACAAATAGTGCTATGTTCAGATAATCTGTTTTATTGT